GTTTCCCTCCTGTTTTGCACCCACAAAGGTTGCAGGGGATGTTTGGTCCTGGACAGTCACAGGTTGGGATGTTCTCCCTCTGGTTTATGAGATGCTCTCAACCCCTGGGCAGGAGCTCCTGGAAATCTCTCTCAGGGAATCATTAAGTCTGGAAAAACCCTCTGAGATCCCTGAATCCAAATGTCCCCAGCACCAGGATCTTCCCAATTCCATCCCAACTCTTCCCTCATGGACATGGACATCCTCAGTGCCATCCTAAAGTTTTGGGGGAATCGTTTTCCCTCCTGTTTTGCACCCACACTTCACAAGGTTGGTGCTTGGGGATGTTTGGTCCTGGATAGTCACAGGTTGGGATGTTCTAGCTCTGGTTTATGAGATGCCTTCAGCCCCTGGGCAGGAGCTCCTGGAAATCCCTCTCAGGGAATCATTAAGGCTGGAAAAACCCTCTGAGATCCCTGAATCCAACCATCCCCAGCACCAGGATCTTCCCAATTCCATCCTAACTCTTCCCTCATCGACATTCCCTCAATGCCATCCTAAAGTTTGGGGAAATGTGGGAGTTTGTTTCCCTCTTGTTTTGCACCCACACTTCACAAAGTTGTTTGGTCCCAAAAAAAAAGGGACAGATTGGAATGTTCTCCCTCTGGTTTATGAGATGCCTTCAGCCCCTGGGCAGGAGCTCCTGGAAATCCCTCTCAGGGGATTATTAAGGCTGCAAAAACCCTCTGAGAACCCTGAATCCAATCATCCCCAGCCATGTCCCCAAGTGCCACATGCACGTGGCTTTGAAATCTCTCCAGGGATGTGACTCCACCACTGCCCTGGGCAGCTCTTCCAGTGCCTGACCACACTTTCCATCAAGATATTTTTTCCAAAATCCAGCCTGAACCTCTCCTGGTGCAGCTTGAGGCCATTCCCTCTTGTCCTGCCCCTCAGTCCTTGGGAGCAGAGCCCAGTCCCACCCACCCACCTCCCTTCAGGTGTTGCCTTCACCCAGGTGAGCTGGAGGAACATCCATGGAGAGCCAGAAAAGTG